CTTCCAACATAAAAGCTCCTTAACGGAAACACGTCTTCTGGACTCTCTGCGTGACAGTTTCCGGCGAGGAGTGGGTGTCGCTACAGGAGGTCCGGAAACCTCACCACTGTTTTCGCTGGAAGTATCTCTGAGCCATCCCCACAGCTCCCTTTCCCTCAGTTCAGCTTCTCTCCCCTGCTGGTTTCCTCTTCAGCTGCTAAGTCTCTTCCAACCTGTCTGAGCCCTTTCACCTCCCTCAGTTCAGCTTCTCTCCCCTGCTGGTTTCCTCTTCAGCTGCTAAGTCTCTTCCAACCTGTCTGAGTCCTTTCACCTCCCTTCCTACCGATGGCAGTTCCCTGACATCCACCTCCCCTCCAGGGCCCCCTTCACCCCCTCTCGCCCCCTCCTCTACGGGCGGTGAGGAGGCAAAACCCCGGAATGAACTTCCTTCATCTTCCGATGTCTCGAACACTTCTCTCCACCTGTTGCGGTTCCTGGTCTCGAAGCACTCCTCCTCCTCCGAGTCCATCTCCCCTTCCCCTTCCGATTCTGGGAATCCTTCCAACTCCTCCTCCTCCTCAGTGGTCCCAAAGTATTCCCTCCGGAACCTCTCCACAGGCTGAGGTTTCCATGGGAACCCTTGATGGAACATTTCTATCAATACCTCGTCATTGATATCTTTGGCCATTACCCACGTGTTTTCTGACTCCGGTTCTCCTTCCCACGCTACCAAATACTCCACCTGATTCCCCTTCCACCTGGCATCAAGGATTTCTGCCACATGACTGCTGCATTCTCTTTCTTCTATGACCGGTCCCCGAGTGGCCATCCCTTCTCGTCCCCCCTCGTACGGTGACAGTAACGACCTGTGAAATACTGGGTGCAGTTTCATGTGGTTGGGTAACCGGAGCCTGAAAGCCACTGGGTTGACCTGTTGAATGACCTCAAAGGGACCCAACCTCCTGGGTCTTAATTTCTTACAACCTCCTTTGAACGGCAACCCTCGGGTTGACAGCCACACCCTCTCTCCAACCCTTATGGTTTCACCTTCCCTTCGGTTCTTGTCTGCCTGCCTCTTGTATTCTTCCCTTCGCCCTTTCTAAGTTGAGTTGGAGCTGACGGTGGATTGCTTCCATTTCTTCTACAAAATGCTCGGCTGCCGGTACGCTCCATCTCGCCCCGTCTCCCCCTGGGAAAGCCCTGGGATGACACCCATAATTAGCCAAGAAGGGGCTCATCCCTGTGGACACATTCTCGGCATTGTTGTAGGCAAATTCCGCCAGCGCCAACTTTTCTACCCAGTCATTCTCTCTGTCATTGACATAACACCTCAGGTATTGCTGGAGGACACCGTTTGCTCTTTCCGCCTGCCCGTTGGTTTCAGGGTGCCGGGCAGTCGAACAGTTGACCTCCACCTGCAGTAAGCTCATGAGCTTCCTCCAGAACCTGGAAGTAAATTGTTTTCCTCGGTCTGAGACCACCCTCAATGGCACCCCGTGCAACCTAAAAATGTGTTCTACAAATAACTTTGCTGTCTCTTCCGCCGTGACTGCATGCGAGCAAGCTACAAAGTGGCACATCTTTGTTAGTAGGTCTACCACCACCATGATGGCTGTTTTCCCTTTGGACTTCGGCAGATCAGTCATAAAATCTATCGACACTGCCTCCCAAGGTCGTTCTGGTGTTGGTAAGGGTTCTAATAGCCCCGCCGGCGCCCGCCTTTCCCCTTTGGCTCGCTGGCACTGCTCGCACCCTCTTACATACTCACGTACATCCTCCCTCACCTTAGGCCACCAAAATTCCCTGGTGACCAACCACATGGTTTTGTGTTGCCCAAAATGCCCCGCCGTGGGGCTGTCATGCAACTGCTTGAGTACCCTCCCCTTAAGTCTCCTTCAGGGATATACAGTGCCCCTTTGTAATACAAAGCTCCATTTCTTTCCTCGAAACCCCTTGATTCCTCTCCCTCATCCCTAAGACCTCTAAGCTTATTCTGGGCGTATTCATCATTCTCTGTTTCTTCTACCAGTTCTCTTTGTCCCACCAATGCCGCCCCACACACCCAGCGGTCCTCTGGAATGACATGTCTCTCTTCGGGTGCTCCTCCCCTCCAAATATTCAGGTTTGCGTGAGAGAGCGTCCGCCCTAATATTCTCTGGGCCTGGCACGTAACAAATCTCAAAGTTAAATTTGGAGAATTCCTGAGCCCATCTCACTTGCCGTTGGTTGAGCACTCGTGCCGTCCTCCAATACTCTAGGTTCTTGTGGTCAGTGCACACTTGCACCTTATGTTGTGCGCCAATTAGCAGGTGCCTCCATCTCCGGAACGCCTCATGAATGGCTAGTAGTTCTCGGTCATACACCGTGTAGTTCCTCTCGGATTTGTTCAGCTTTCGCGAAAAAAGCACACGGTCTCCACTCTGACTCCTCCTTCCCTGGCTGGAGAAGCACCGCCCCAACCGCTCTGTCTGATGCATCAGTTTCCACTCTCATCGGTTTTTGTAAATCCACATGCAGGAGCTGTTGTTCCGAGGCGAAGGCCCTTTTAGTTCCTCAAATGCTTGCTCCGCCTCCTCCGTCCAAACGAACTTCTTCTTACTGCTGAGACAGTCCGTAATGGGCGCCGTCAGGTGGGCAAAGTTTGGGATGAACTTACGATAGAAGTTCCCAAACCCTAAAAACCTCTGCACATCCTTCCTTGTTTTGGGTGTTTTCCATTCCAGTACCGCCTGGACCTTGCCGGGATCCATGGCCAACCCCTTGTCAGACAGGCGATACCCCAGGAATTCCACCTCCTTGGTATGAAACTGACACTTCTCCAGTTTCACCCACAGCTGGTTGGCTTGCAGCCTGCTCAACACTTCTCTGACGTCTCTCACATGCTGCTCCTCATTCTCAGAATACACCAACACGTCGTCTAAGAAGGCCACACAATTCTTGTAAAGCAACGGCCCCAGGACGTGGTTCATAAACGATTGAAATGTTGCGGAGCCTGCTTGTAGACCGAAGGGCATAACTAAGTATTCAAATGCCCCTAAAGGGGTGAACATGGTGGTTTTCCATTCATCCCCCTTCCTTATTCGTATCAGGTTGTACGCCCCCTTAGATCCAGCTTGGTGAAAATCTTTCCCTTTCGCACCCTTGTCAAAATGTCGTCAATCCTGGGCATCGGGAAGGCCACTGGTTCTGACACTGCATTTAAGGCCCTGAAGTCACACACCAGTCTCGGCTTGTTCGTGTTTTTTGTGGACAAAAACACTGGGCTGCCCCCCCCGCCCTGGACTCTCTGATGAACCCTCTCTTCAGGTTCTTGTCAATGAACTCTCTTAGCTCCTGCATCTCTCTGTCTGACATGGCGTACAGCTTGCCCACAGGGAGCTGTGCCCCAGGGAGCAAATTGATTTGACAGTCAAAGGCTCTATGCGGTGGTAGTTGGTCAGCTTCCCTTTCGCTGAAGACGTCGCGGAGATCTGCGTATTGTCGTGGTACCTTCACGTTCTCCTTCACTTCAGTCCCTGCTAGGGTGGCTTGGGCCCCTGCCAAAACCTTTCCCTCTTTGCAATGTTCTAAGCAATGTGCTGAACCAAAAGAAACCACTCTCTGATGCCAGCC